CAGCAACAAATGGAAAAGAAAATTTGGTCTTAACTATTAATTTTCCTTCTGTTTTTTAATGGGCAGTAATCCAGCACGTGCCTGTTCTAGGATACCTGGTCACTATGGGGCCTGTTGGTGGGTGGGCTCCTTATTGCTAGGCTAAGAGTGACTGGTTGTCCAGAGGAAGAGGTGGTGACCTTTTAGTCCAGCCCATTTATATTTTCCTTAGCATCTGCCCCCATTTGCTGGGCAGGGAATATGCCTTCTGTCTGGACTGCTACCTATCAAACAAGTAGAAACAAAGAAGGTAAGACCAAGTTTTCTGTTTTATGCCATGTTTGAGGGTGGCAGGGAGAAAGATAGCCTAGCCTTTTTTGCTTCTACACAAAGTTATGTCAAAAAGTAAAATGTTTTAGCAAAGGGGAATGGCGTTCAACACTTTACTACAGAAACATAAAGTAAAATTAGAATGACCTGCCAAGCAAGGTTTTTGCCTCTACTTCTTTTGCAGATCTCTTTGTTATTTTTTTTTTGTAGATGTAATGTAATAAGTTCATTTTTTAATCTAAAAATTGCACAAAAGTATGCAAGTTAGATATAAAATGTTAAACAGGTGCTACTATTATGCCATGTAGATCAATAAGAGTTTTTTTTTAGAGATAAAGTCACAAACAAATCGGTCTTCCTCTAACAAAAGAACCGCTAATAAGAGCTGTAGCTAAGAGGAACAAAAGCACTTCCCATAACTGTATTGAATCAATACGTACAGTAGGTTTTGCTGGGAGGATAACAACAATTGCCATAACAGAAAACAGGAAGCTAACCATTTTGTAGGAGGAAAATTACTCAGATCTGGTTTATTATATAATGGAGTTGTGTGCCTAATTACCCTTTCTCCAGTTCTGTTTCATGTACCAGTGAAGGTCCACAACATGTTAAATCGGGAACTTTGGCTTCTCTCTGCAATGTGGCAAATGCTGGCTGATAAAAAGGGGTTTAAATGTATGAATGGGTTGTTGTAAGAAGGCTCCACAAGGCAAACTCAGTGATGGCAGCCTTCTCTAAGATGGGTCCTGCTAATAGAATGATAGCTCCCTTACCTACCTTTTATACATGATATGAATTACATGGGCCAAACCTCCTTTATGGCTTTTCCTTTCTTTTTAGCCCTGAGAATTCCTGCTTGCAAAAGTATTCAGCAACTCTAAATAGCTGAGCTATGGATTCAAAGAGAAGAAAGGTTGTGTTCCCAAATGGACAACCAGGTGCCCTCTGGGTTTCAGACTATACTTTCTACGAGACTTTGCCATTGGAGAGGCTAGCTATTAATCCAAAATATCTAGAAGGAACTAGGCTGCCTCATCAACAATAGAGGCTTGCAAGTGAAATTATTTCTGCTTCAAAACTAAGGCAAGCTTTTGTTATGTGACAGTTATGAAGAAGGAGGTTCTAGTTCTGTCCCACAGAGATTTTTCTTTTTTCTTTTTAGTCCCCAGCAAATTTCTATTGGTTTTCTCTTAGCCTTATATACCTGCAGCCTTTAAAAGCATATGACACCTTCTTCAGGAGCCCAGGCAGCATCCTCAGAAGTATAAAATATGTACAGAACACTTCTCAAGATTCCAATATGGCTCCAGCCTACATATTTTACTTCAGCCTTTAGGAAGAGATTTAATAATCATGCCAGAACAGCCTAGTCCAGTGATGGCGAACCTTTTAGAGACCGAGTGCCCAAAAACTGGCCCCGCCCCTGCTCCACCCCCCCCGCCCGCCCCCGCTCTGCCCCCCCATTGCCCGTCCCACTTGCCCACAGGACCACTCACCGCCTCCAGGACCCGCCGCAGATCGCCCAGGCAGCCCAGCAACGCTATGGCGGCCACACCCTCTGCCTACACCCTGCAGCATCAACTGCATGATGGGGTGTGAGGGCAGAGTCTTGTCTACGCTGCCTGGCTGCCATGTCCTTGGCTGCGCTGCTCCATCTGGGCCACGCTCGAGGGCAAGTTTCCTTCAGGGGGGCTGCTGGAGAGGAGAAGGTCACGGGGGGAGGCAAGGCTGGGGCAACGGCACGTGTGCCCACAGAAAGGGCTCCGAGTGCTGCCTCTGGCACCCGGGCCATAGGTTCGCCACCACTGACCTAATCAGTGGCATAGCAGTATTCCACGTCTTATATCTTTTCCAGATATCCACAAATTAGTCACTAACAGACACATAGACACCAGGAGAGAATGGAAGGTACAATTGTTCGTAGTTCTTTGATTAATTACATCCCATTCTCCTTTCTCTGGAGGAGGCTTTGGCTAAGCTGTGAAATGCTGGTACAGTGGAAGGAACTGAACAGAAACAGTCTTGCCCATCCTTGTATTTTTGTTCCAGTTGTGAGAGAAATGCAGAACAAGAAGTTCTGTGTATGTCAGGTTTCTGCACTGCTCTGCGTATTAGCCAATGTTGAAACACGTTACTTGTAGTATAATAAAAGAGACCCATTCCATGAATTCACGTAGAAGTTGTCTTTCTTACTGTTTTGAAGAATGGAGTAAATCAGAGTTGTTGTAGCTTTCTCTCAAAGGCCAAGCCTTAAAAAAATAAAACAAAAAGAGATCTCTGAGTTAGTATTCGCTTACATTCAGTCAAGAACCTTTCCTTTCTATTACACTTGTTCTTCACCATTTTTCAAGTTTATCAGATTCCATATAAGATAAACAAATTCTACATTTCAGTTCCTTATCAGCTGGCATTGTGATTTCTATGGCCTAGTTTTTTTCTAGGTCAGAAAACACCTCATGGTTGTACATGTTGTTGCCTTGTTGCAGGGAGGGTGGCTGATGCTAGATGTAATGAAAAAGGGCCTTGGAATCTCAGGCTGTAATTTCCAAGGCACATTTCTGTTCTCCTTGATTTCTTCAAACAATAGCATAATTAAATAGATTGCTTCCCTTGTTTGAAACTGCCAAGAATAGCTCATTAATATATTGAGTCTAATGCTATATATTTGCCTACCAATGATTCTCTCCTAGCCTTATATATTTCTTGGGCAAAGAGAAGTATGGGTCATGAGGAACCCTCTTATATTTCCCACTATCCAAGATCAGAAGAATAGAGCTGTCACCTATTCATTAGAAAGTGGGATTTCAGTCATAAATTGAACGTGCCTTGAGTTTAAAACCTAGATGTTCAAGGTGGAATGAAGAATCGTTGGACCTATTTACATGTATATATCTTAATTAATTAAACTATCATTCCTTTTCCCACATCTATTTTCAGTATGCCATAATTCACTGTAGGTTAATTAATCAGTTTTCTCTTAGGGTCTGAACTAGCAAATTATGGATAGAATTGGAGACAAACAATTATTTCAAAGAAAACGTACAGCAAGTATAAAGATAGTGCTGGGACTTGGTAGATAAAAGGAGGACTGCAAATAAAATTAAGTGCTTCCTTCTCCCAGACTGTTAGAAGTTTGATGCTACCAATTAAAATTTTTAAGGAATTAATGCTTTTTATTTCTGTATTGCAATATTAAAGAATGGTCTGCTTGATTTCATTCTTTTTCATAAAGTACATCTCATAAGAGGTCCTACAAAGCTATTTGAGGTCAGGAACTCTGCTTATTTTAAATGTCATGTAAGGTACAAATGATGAACCATGTTGGCAGGCCATTCTCCATGTAAAGACTTTCCATGATTTGCTGACATTACAAAGCTGTCGCAGTTTCATCTCTAGGTTCCTTTGCTCTGAATGTTGAGTAAGTGAGATCCTCTAGCCATATATGACTATAAAAATGAAAGATGGGTAGTTTTACTTCTGAGTTTTCCTACTTCTGTTATACATGGCCTTCAGTCAACTTGCTTCTTTTCCTCTTTTACTGTGCAATCTGAAGCATAAAAAATTATGGCTAATGGGTGGTTAGTAGCCTCAGGTCTCCTTGCTGCTTTGGAAGAAATTGCAACAGAACTGGCAGGAAGGGGCATCCCCACAACCTGCTCTGCATGGTTTCTACAGAGTCTTCTGCCTGTTGGCCCTGTTTAACATGAGAAGAAAAGCTTGTAGGTAAGAGAACTAGTTTTCCTTTCCACCTTTTAGTGTTGCAGCCTTCCATGATCCATAACTGACTACCCTGGGAAGTGATGCCTTTGGGGAAGCAGCCCATGTAGACATCCCATTGCCTCACTGTGCTTAGGTGGCTCGGCTGTGTGTGAATGTTCACGTTCAGTCATTTCACGGTGTGCTGTTGTCCCGCTCGCTTTTTGTTGTACGTGGCTGGCTGACTGCTGTTCTTATCATCTGTGATAGGCCATAGAAGAGGGTACCCTAGAGGAGATCGAAGAGGAGGTGCGTCAGAAGAAATCCTCCCGCAAGCGCAAGAGAGACGTGGATGTCAGTTCCTCAACCCCAACCACCAGCACTCGTAGCCGGGACAAAGACGATGACAGCAAAAAGCAGAAAAAGCGAGGCCGGCCCCCTGCTGAGAAGCTCTCTCCAAATCCACCCAACCTCACTAAGAAAATGAAGAAGATTGTGGATGCTGTGATTAAGTATAAAGACAGGTAACCGAAAGAAGGGACATTTCTCCCCTATAATTTTACATTTTCATATCCTCAGCCATCAGTATTTCTCCTCTGGACAGATGTTTGTTTAGCAGTATCTACATATTTATTGATTCTGCTGCCTCTGGACTTTGAAGGGGAATCCAGCATGATGTGAAATACTGGAATTTATGTGAAAAACCAAGACTACAGGTAGTCTTCGATTTAGGACCACAATTGAACCCAAAATTTCTGTCGCTCATTAAGACAGTTGTTAAGTGAGTTTTGCCTCATTTTATAACCTTTCCTGTCACAGTTGTTAAGTGGATTGCTGCAGTTGGCAACACAATTGTTAAGTGAATCTGGCTTCCCCATTGATTAGCTTGTCAGAAGGTGGCAAAAGGTGATCACATAACCCTGGGCCACTGCAACTGTCATAAACGTGAGTCAATTGCCAAGTGTCTGAATTTTGGTCACATGACCATGGGGATGCTGCAGTGGTTGCAAGTGTGAAAAATGGTCATAATTCACTGTTTTCGATGCCATTGTAACTTCAAACGATCATTAAATAAATTGTTGCAAGTCAAGGACCAACTTATGCATATCAGAGAGATAATGTTGAGAAGTGAAAAAGTGGAATGGAGTAATGGGAAGTGAGTATGAGTGTCATGCTGGAACAGTTACCCAATATATTGGCTGCCTTATGAGTGAAGATAAAGGTTTCCCCTGTCCAGTCATGTTTGATTCTAGGGGGCGGTGTTTATCTCCCTTTCTTAGTAGAGAAGCCAGTGTTGTCCAAAGACATTTCTGTGGTCATGTGGCGAGCATGACTATATGCCAAGGCACACAGAAAGCTGTTACCTTCCCATTGAAGTGGTACCTATTTATCTACTCACATTTGCATGCTTTTGAATTGCTTGGTGGGCAGGAACAGGAGCTTACCCCATCATGCAGCACTCGGGTCTTAAATCCGGCTGTCAGCTTTCCAGCTGATAAGTTCAGCATCTTTAACCACTGAGCCACCGCACCCCCTGCCTTATGAGTACAAAAGCTCAATTTTTCAGAGAGTCAGAGATGGTAGCAGCAAACCACTCACAATGTCTTCCTCCCCTCCATGAATCTTTTGCACAATTGGAACTACAACTTTCAGAATTCCTAGCCAGTTTAATGTCCCATTATATCTGAAGGGCATCATATTGGAAAAGGCTAACATTGATCCTTTCTTCTAAAACTATTCTCTGCCAGAGCCTCACAGCTCTGAATTTTCATTACAGTAAACATAATTGTTGCCTAATGTTAGATAAAACTATTAAGCTTCCAGTCTTGACAGACCTATGACAAGCAATTCACTTCCCTCTCTTCTATTGTGAAATAAAGCTTTGGTTTTAACAGATATTGTTTCTCAGGTCTGATTCACCCCATCAGTGCTGCTCTCCTGTGTTTTGACAGGCTTCATCCATTGCATGCCAAGATTTCAAATTCTTCAGCTAATGTAATGCTTCAGAGCCACATCAGAAAATATTTGTATGATTAAACCTTAACAGTGGGGGAGGAGAGCAATTTTCAGTAGGAAGATAGTATGCCAGAATAAGATACCAAACTTTTTCTTTCCAACCATAATTTAAATTTTCCTACACATTATATACATAAAAATTGATTTGTTGTGCTTCATATTAATAAATACACATTAATCCTGCAGATAAAATAAGCTGTTTCTTGGCTCCTCCGTAGCTACTAATGCAGCATATCAGCCATTAGTAGGTGCACTTTAGTAATATAAAATAGAATTGTCTCCATATTTCACTTCACTTCTTCAATCCCTGACAGCCAGGGCAGGTGCCTCTGAACTGGCCTGCATTGGGAAAGGCAAGCCATGTTTTAGATGTTTTCCTTCATCTTGCCTTGTAGCAGCAGTGGACGTCAGCTTAGTGAAGTCTTCATTCAACTGCCTTCTCGAAAAGAGCTTCCAGAATATTATGAACTCATTCGCAAACCAGTGGATTTCAAGAAGATAAAGGTACCTTAGGAGTTGTTTATCTTTCTCTAATTCAGAGAAGGGCCCAATGTTTGTTTATTTGCTTACTTGACTTATATCCCATCTTTATTTATGCAACTCAAGGCAGCACATATAATGCTCATACCTCCTATTTTCCCCACAACAACCACCTTTAAGGTAGGTTGGGCTAAGAAAAGGAGTGACCCAAAGTCACCCAGCTGTCTTCTATGCCTAAGATGGCACTAGAAAGCCAGTTGCTAGTTCAACATTTTAATACCAAAGTGGCTCTTGATAACAGGAATGATAAAATAGGCCTGCCCATCTTAAGCAGGATGCAGCACCTTGGATTTGATCCAAATAGGGTAGTTTTGCCTCATGTGAGCAAACAAACCTGAGAGAAGCTGAGTGACCCATAACCACAGCCAATTTCATTTCCCATACCCACTTAGCAGATGATATCCAGTCAGGTTGAGAAGACTGACTTGACATTGGTCATGTGATGGGGAAACCACCTACTGCAGTTTCTGGTCATGTGATGGGAAAGCCACCTACAAGAGTTTTCTCACAAGATCACATGCCTACCTTCTGTCCCTTTGTTTAGAAGAGCAGGCTGAGCCCTGTAGTTTAATGCTTACAACAAGGTTAGTAAACTGATTTCCTAGTGCAGCTTAGTTTAACATGTGCCATTGAAATTTCTAACTGGGATGCCCATCATTCTGCATTATTTCCGAGAACACTTTCTGATGCAGCTAGATGGCTTGTAAATAAGTGTTGCACATAACTATAACTTTGGGAAGGTATATAGCCCATTTGAAAAATGGAAATACTAGCCATCAATATTGCACTATATCTTTTTAAAGCTGTGTTATAGGGTATGTCTTAAATAGTTCTTAATATATTTTAATGCATTAAATTGTATACATTCAAAGAATGCAATAGCATGCTGGTTTCCTGAACTGGATGGTGGAAGACTTTGTATAGTTTGTAGTATCTCTGATTTACTGAATGAAGCCCTTCTATGTTAGAGAAGGTAACTTTTTAAAACCTTCAGTGAATCTTATTTGCTTATTTAGATAAATTTAGATTTTAATTTCAAAATGCCCTCCCTTCAACAACAACAAAAAGATTCATGTGCATATTAGATCCTGAGTTATTCCCCTTTGTATTTTAATTTTGTAAGATAGCATTACATCATCTTGAGGCTTTCAAACTAGTTTCCGGACAAAGGGGATAGTTTGGATTACCAAAGATCCACCTAATCATCAATTGAGTCACACAATTAGGGATTTCCCTTGAGGCCTTTTAAGGGCCAAAATCTCAGACAGACATCTTGCTCATTCAGTTGTGCAAGTTCATTTGTTCAACAATCAGAGTTTCAGTCAATACCCTCACAAAACCAGTATTATTGAAATATTGTATAATTGTGTATAAATATTGTATAATTGAATATAATTGTACAATGGATGTTTCTACATGTCTTTTAAGTGAATTAACTGCACAGGTGTTTTACAGAATCCATACTGATCTAACTATCTCTGTCTGTGTTCTTAATTTTAAAAGAATTTTTGAGGATACTATCCCTTTCAGCTTTAAGAATTGCTCCTTTTTCTCTCTCAATTGCTGAAATATGCATACGTATAGGGGCATCATCTCACTCTGATGACAAGTGAATGAAGGCAGGAATCTGAAACTTTTGTTCAATAAAACATTGTTTTTGTTTCTCCTCTGCCCCCCACTTCACTTTCAGGAGCGTATCCGGAACCACAAATATCGCAGCCTAAATGATTTGGAGAAGGATGTCATGCTTCTATGTCAGAATGCTCAGACTTTCAATCTTGAAGGATCACTGGTAAGACATCTTCCTGCAGTTAGAGCACATTCTTGACACTAAAAAAGTGTATGGTTACTCCATATGGCGGGTTGAACTAATTCTCCTTTAGTTAAATAAGTTAGGACAATTGAGATGCGTTTTGAGAGATGCATAGTTTCTGTGCTCTGTAAGCAGATGGGTTCAGTACTTTTTATAATACCATGGTTGTAGACAAAATTCATATAGCAAGAATTCCTTTGCAGAGGTATGACAAACCATTAGTCTTAAATAATGGATAAGAATTATCAGGAGATAATGAGTTTTATGAATCTCTTAAAGCTCTTTTCTATTCTCTCACACATCCATAACCAAGCTTTAGAAATTCCCTTCAATTTACCTGTCATATATGTATATATGTATGTATGTATGTGTGTGTGTGTGTGTGTGTAGGTCTTTGGTTATTCGGGTTTTCTCCCGCGTCAAATTGGAAGTGTCTTGTCGATGTTTCAATGAAGTCTTATTCGTCATCTTCAGGCTGGTGTCTTTGGCTTCGTGCTTCTAGAAGCACGAAGCCAAAGACACCAGCCTGAAGATGACGAATGAGACTTTGTCGAAACGTCGACAAGACACTTCCAATTTGATGCAGGAGAAAACCCAAAAAACCAAAGACCTACACACAAACACCCGCGAAAACCTCAGAAAACAAATATATGTATGTATGTATGTATGTATGTATGCTGTTTCAAATGCTAATGCAACCAACTGAGTAGATGGTCTTAGGGCAACCATTTTTTTCCATCTTCTCCCCAATTTCATATGGAACACAAGGTTGTTGGAAAATTAGAGCAAGATAGATATGATAGGATAGAACTCAAAAATGTTCCATAAATCCCCAATACTATTAAGAATGGCCCCATTTTTTAAAGCAAAACCATCATAACAACTAAGGGCATGGACTGAAAATAAATATAGAACTTAGCCCAGTGGGATGAAAGTGTTAGATCAATCATAATTTCTACATCTTCCTTTCTTCTATGGTTTCCTGCAGATTTATGAAGACTCAATTGTTCTGCAGTCTGTCTTTACTAGCGTGAGGCAAAAAATTGAAAAAGAGGAAGACAGCGAGGGAGAAGAGAGTGAAGAGGAGGAAGAGGGAGAAGAGGAAGGATCTGAATCAGAATGTGAGTGTTTTTTTATTCAGCATTATTTTCTTTGCAAAACAAATGTGTAAAATATTTAGAAAGAAATTAAATCAGATTGAATTGAACTCCTAGTAACTTCATGGATACATCTGTGTCATTTTCCTGGTAGCAATACGGAAGTAATGTGTCTTCTCTGGGATACTTTTCAACTTCAGTGATAGAACTATAGAGTTGGAAGGTACCTTAGAATAGGGCTTTTCAACTGGTAGTACATGTACCACCAAGTGGTACATTGGCACATGGCAGGTGGTACATGGCCCTGCCCAGCCTAGCCAAGTGTAGTGGGGGAGGGAACAAGCCAAAGCACAGCACAGGACTTATCATGAGAGAGTCCTCGGGACCTGCAGGGCTGCTGGAGTGAGGCAAAGGCCCCAGGATCGGCAGTTCCAGCTCACCCGGAAGAGAAAGGAGAAGGGGGCGGAGACAGGAGAGGCTATAAAAGGAGACAGTTTGGGCGGGAGAGGGAGAGAAAAAAAATGCAGCCTTGGGAAGAGGAGTCAAACAGGCCAGCTAGGAGCAGATCTGGCGCTGAGGTGGCGCAGCAGTTAGAGTGCAGTACTGCAGGCCACTTTAGCTGACTGTGTTCAGCAGGTCAGCAGTTCAATTTTCACCTGCTCAAGGTTGACTCAGCCTTCCATCCTTCCGAGGTAGGTAAAATGAGGATCCAGATTGTTGGGGGCAATGTAAAATATATATATACATTGCTTACTGGTGTACACCGTTTAGAGAGTGCTTGCACTTAAAGCGGTATATAAGTCTCATAAATAAATAAGTTCTGTGGCAGCCATCCGTGCCGCGCACGCACACAGGTGGCAGCGACAAACAGGCAAGAAACGCAGCTGGGGAGGGGTCACCCTCCATGAGGAATGAAAAAAGGCAGCATCGACTGGAGGTGAGGCACGGAGGGAGTGAGGAAGAAGATGGCAATGAGAAAGAGGGAGGTAGAGAACAGGAGGGAGGGAAACAGAAAGGAAGGAAGTGTTGAAAGAAAAAGCCGGGGGCTTGGTTTCCAGCTGAGAGGCTATACCTTTAAGAGAAAAGAAAAAAAAATGAAGCACCACCGTTTGAAATAGGTGAAAGGAAGCCGGCTCGAGAGGAGATATTTATTGGCAGAAGCAAAGTGCTGTTTCAGCAGTTCGATTTTGGATCAGCTAAACAACAAACCGGGAAAGTGGAAGGATTTTTATGTGATTTTGTGACTTTGAAGTTCTGGGATTTGTGCAATGTGGGCTTTGTGTTCTTAAGGATTGTTTGGCAATTTCTATTGTGGCTGATGGCTGATGTCCCGTGTTGGATTTGGGGTTCTAACTCTGTTGCTTTGCTATTGTTAGCTGTAAGTTTTGCTGCAAGGGATTTTGAAATATTTTTGTCCTAAATGGATTTTGCCTGTAGCATTTATTTACTTATGAATGGAGCCATTTGGGGAGGCTGCCTTAACTGGTAGCCAGTACTTGCTACATTTGTGGTGGTGGTTGTTTTTCTTCAGTGCCGGCTGCCGGCTCCTTTCCTTTCTAGCCAGTAGTTAATTCTTAAAAGGGAATGTGCCTTTTTAAGCTAGTTCCCTCAGCGGCTTGTCTTTTCTGTCTCTGGAAGCTTTTCCTTGTTCGATAAATATATGGAAGAGAAAAAATATGGGGGCGGGGGTTCAAATTCTTTCTTCAGAAGGAAGGAGATGGGAATGAGAAAGAGGAAGGCAGGGAGGGAGGGAGGGAAGGAGATTGGAATGAAAGGGAGGGTCTGAAGGAAGTCCCGCCTTCGCCACCAGCAGCCCTGCCATTGACCTTGGGACACTGTGACCATCATAAATATGAATCAGTTGCCAAGCATCCAAATATAAATCACATGACCCTGGGAATGCTGCAACGGTCGTAAGTGTGAAAAATAGTCATAAGTCACTTCAGTGCCATTGTAACTTTGAACAGTCACTAAGCGAATTGTTGTAAGTCGAGGACTACCTGTACCTTATCCCTTTTTTCTTTTGGGGGGGGTCATCAAGTTTTTGACACTTGTACTCAAATATTGCCATATCCTAAAAGTGGTACAGTTGGTGAAAAGGTTGAAAAGCCCTGCCTTAGAAGTCATTCAATCCCCTACTCAGTGCTAGATCTATAAGAGAATCTCTGACAGATGCCCCTCCAACCTTCCTTTGAAATCCTCCATGAAGAGCTCATGTCCTATACTGTTTCAGTAGCAGACAGCTTGTAACCAGGAGGTTCCTCCTAATATTTGCCCCAAATCTTCTTTCTTGTAGTTTTAACTTATTGGTTCGTGTTCTTTCCTGTGGCTCAGTAGACATGTGTTTGCAGCCCTTCTGGCAACATATCAGAAGGTGGCTATTATATCTTCTCTTAAGTCATATTTCTTTAAACTAAAGATATCCATTTTTCATAGGGCTTGGCTTTCAAACATTAAACATCTTAAGTGGCCTTAGTGGCCATTTTATGAACTTGTTCTAATTTGTCCCTGCCTTTCTTGAATCTTGGTGCTCAGAGCTGGATATAATATTCCATGTTCCTGATATTTCTGACCCTGCATCCACCTGTGATCCTGTTTGGGTTTTGGAGATAGCAAGACCTGGCTAGGCACTTCTTGTTAAGCATAAGGAAAAAGTACGAAAATTATGATGGGCTGACAGAGAAAATATCTGAAAGCCATTAGAGCCATCAAGAAAGGCTGACATTTGACAGGGTTAGGGTCCAGAGCTTGTGAGGAAAGCCTCATCCTGCCCTTTTTGCACCATCCTTATGTGTACATAAAAGGCTGTTCGATTTTTTCATAAGAAGAAAAAGAGTTTTTGGTGTGATTATTTCACAAAACAAGCTAGGTTATTAGGCTTAGGAATACAGTGAAGCAGATTAATGGAGTGTTTGGAAATACAGATATATAAGTAAAATTGTGTCTATGTCTCACGAAAATTAGGACAGATTTCAACCTGTTTCAGTCATAATTCATAATGGAACAGGAACATAAACTCATAGCCAGCTTTTCAGTCTCGCTCTGTTCTTCCCAGCTCGTTCTGTCAAAGTGAAGATTAAACTGGGCAGAAAGGAAAAAGTACCAGACCGAATGAAAGGCCGCAGACGCACCAGCCGTGGGTCCCGGGCTAAACCCGTGGTTAGTGATGATGACAGCGAGGAAGAGCAAGAAGAGGTAGGTAAAACAATAGATTTTTTTCCCCTAAGGTGTCATCAGTGATCCCAGGAGGAGAGATCTAGTGCTTTTGTTGGAGAGAGATGGTCAAAGAAAGAGAGGGCATTTTCCATTTAAATAAGCAGAACGAAAACACAAAACCAAGTTCTACTTTTCAAAAAGCTACATGGTACACTGAGTAAAAAATTTAGACCTTAGTTCATCCATGAGATTTCCTGGATCATTACTGTTCTTTTGCCTGCCTACCTACTTCCCAGGACAGTCAGGAAGATACCTGATACATTAAGGTACAACTAAAAAGTATTTTCCTCTTCTCTCCTAGGATCGCTCAGGAAGTGGCACAGAAGATGACTAGGTGACATTCCATGATGGAGACCTCAGGCATCAGTTTTTCCAAAGCAGAGGTGCTCTAGTCCTTTAGCTGCAACGGGTAGAAAGAAAAGTAGTGTTGGATGTGGGTAAACTGTATAAATTCTTCCATATTTATACTGCAGTGAAGATGTAGGACTTACTTGTGTCTTGCCTTGTCCTCACATCAGTAGCGTTTGTAACAGCATTAACTGTTGTTTTTTTTTAAAAAAAAATTATGACTGGGGGAACACTTGATTTTTTTTAAAGGCAGTACTATTTTCAGTTGCAGTATTGAATCACTGTAGTTTTAACCTGTGGGTGCATGTGTGTAAGCAGTCCACTTCCTAGTACTGTATTTTATGAAACAGGTCAAACAGCCAGCTGCTCCCCCCAAAGCAAGGAGAGGGTGGCAGGGGTAACTGTGTCAGTGTCACTGGATTTCAAGCAGTAATAAATTAAGCAAAACAAACAGTAATAAATTAAGCAAAACAAACAAACACCCCACCATCACCGTGGTGCATTTGTTAAATGTGCTTCTCTTTTACTGTAACATCTGGAAAGCTCCTCCCATCAGCTCAGTAAGGTCTGAAATGTATCCATCTTCTGATCCATTCAGAGAATACAGAATAACAGAGTTGGAAGGAACCTTGGAGATTTTCTAGTCCAACCCTCTGCTCAAGCAGGAGACCCTGTATCGTTTTAGACAAGTGGCTGCCCAGTCTCTTCATGACTATGACAACTATGATTATGGCCTGCTTAAAATGGCTGTCCAGATGCTCCTAAATCCCCATCTGGCTTCTCATCTGTAGTAATATTCAAAGGAGATGGCAGGTTGCAATATCTTATCATTCCAGATTGCACACGAGATTTTGATCAGGCCTGTTTTTGTAAAACAGATATTTAAAGAATTTAAAGATGAAAACATCAGAACACATCTTTAAAGCATTTTAGCTTTTATTCATTTTGTCTCTGGTACTTTATTCTCATTCTGAAAGTCTCTGCTTCTTTTATCCACATCTATGTTTGTGGGCGATCATCTTGCATGACCTGCTGGGCGATGGAACAATATTCGTGCTTTAGCCAAAAACAAGAGAGGGGAGGAAGTCGCTCCATTTCAAATTGAGTTACTTTCTGGACCATGTATTCTGTAAATCTACAGAATTATGATACACATGTGGAAGTTACTTAGTAGGTTTGTGGTTGCTGTGGTTTAAGACATGCTGTATTTAACAAAGCCTTGTTAAAGGCTTTCCAATTACTCAGAAGGGGCCAGGGAGGCTTATCTTTAGATCAGCCTATTTCTCTCACACTCATAGAATTTGCACACTAAAAATATTTCCTTGGAATACCCAGATTTTGGAAACTTATACAAAATAAACACTGTATACATTTTTATTACAGGAAAAGAATTTCCTTCTGTATTTTTCCATTTAACTCATGTAGCCCCTTGGAATTGTTATTATGTAACAGGAAAAAGATAGTGATGGGAGCAGTCCAGAACACAAAGAAACCATTGCTGGAAATTAACTTTCTGAAAAATAAGGAGACCAACGCAACAGCACAACTCCCTGCATTATGCTATGTAGGGAGTTAATATACTGTGAAGAAGATAGGTAGGGACATTATTATGCTTTCGAATCAATCTCTTTCCCAATTAATTGAATTCTGCTCCCTTAATAATATAGACAAGCTTAGCCAATTAAAGTCCGTATCCTGTTGTATCACAATCCGTATAGTTCTGTACCAAGGAGTGGAAGCTTTTCCAAATTGTGACATCACGGCAACAGATGGTACCACCCCCACGGTGTTCCTCTGCATGATTACGGTTCATGTCTCCAACACAGGCCCACTCCGAATCACTCTCTATTCCAACACACCACTTGGAATGGTCCGATGTGGAAAAGAAGGTGGTGGCTGGGTCCTGGAATGCCAGTTGCTTCACATTGTAAACTCTGTATTGTCCAGAGCAGTTGGATGCCAAAACACCATGAGACTTGAGCCAGAATTCAACATAGAGATCAGTAGCAAGAGCCTGGGCCAACCAGCCAGAGTACAGATCTGGGGAGATGAAATACAAGTAGTCCTTGAGTTACGAGTGTAATGAAGCCTGCCCATTACACTTGTAACTCGAAAACTTGTAGAGTGAATCTCGTACCTCAAATGAAATTACTCCCTTGCTCATTAAAATGCACACAGCTCGTTAAGCAAACATAAGTTATCTCAGAGTGGGGAAGGTCATGGAGGGCCTAGTGATGGAACAGGGCCTCCAAGGCCTCCCTGACCCATAAGATACCACATGCTTCCCCCCCCCCTTCCTGCTGCACCGGACTCACTTCGAAAAGATCGTATCCTCTCTGCTGCAGTTTTTGCTGCCGCCCAGATCTGAGGCTGGGGAACACTTCTGGATCTTGCCACAGCCCGATCCGGACTCTGGAGGCCTTTTCCAGGCCATTGCTGCCTGGATTTGAGGCCAGGGTGGGGTGCGGAAGCCCTGAGCACGTGGAAGTGTCCTCCAGCTTCGGTTCCGTTCTCTGTTGCAGAGAACAGAGGCCTAAAGTACCATGGGATCACGCGAGATCAGTAGCGTGAGATCTCGCCCCACTGACCTCGTGTGATCTTGGGGTTACTTTAGGCCTTCATTCTCTACGAACTCACTGAAGGCCTGGAGCAGCTAAGAAAGTGAAGGATCTCGATCTTTGCAGGGTGAGTATTGAAGGCCTGGTGCCTAAGGAAAACCAGGGGGCGGGGAGGGAGGGAATAACCAGGGTGAATGTTGCAGAGCCACTGCAGTCCCTCATAAGAGCTATAATATTTGTAACTTTGTGACTTGCTCATAAGCACTTGGGTGCGCTCGTCACATAACTTTAAATGAGCATTAAGTGAATGCTCGTAACTCAGAGATTACCTGTAATTGCAAATGAATTTATGAGCATAGTTTTGATATAACTCGATGGCCATATTCCCTCTCTAGTAACTCCACTGCTTTCTACACCTATCTTCCCCCATCATTACTTACCATCATCAAAGAAACGGAATTTTGCAAAGCTGACAAATTCCTTGCCCCCTTTTGATGTCAGAGTCACCGAGGAGTTCCATGGCTCCTCCTGTACATGTTTCCCCTCAGAAGCATTCAACAAGGCAGGCAGATCCCGGGCAAAGGCCCCTGGCACCTGGTAATCATAGACGTGGGGCTCCGTGAAGAGCAGCTGATTCCCTAAGGCGGAAATACAGTGTACAGTGTTAGATTTATTGGCTGGGAGCACATTATCATCCTGCCAGGAAAAAAAAAACATTTTGACACCTCAGAACAGCTAAGGATATTTCTGTACTGCTAGGATCTCCAGTCTCACAAAGGCCCATTGTTTTTTCCATTTGCCAAAGTTGACCAGCAATTCCTCCACATGGTCTACACGAGAACGCCAAAACTGGCCTAGCAACATGTTGCCACATCCGCACTCTCACCATGCTTGTTTGTTTAATGAAGCTAAAAAAAAAAAAAAAACACTATTAACTGACTGGTTTTCCAAGGCACCTTATTGACTGCTAGGAAGGGGAGAAGGCTGAAAGACAGGGACTCTTGAAAACAAACTGCAATCCAGATTTTGGGGATTTGGAGCAGCTGAATACAACTGCTAATGTTGGAAGCTAGGGATACAGCACTACCCTGTGTGGAATCTGCCTCAGTTTCTCCATAGGAATACTGTGCTTCTTGAAATGGAATCATGTTGAGAAATGGTGATGGTCTATTGCTTGTTCATATGCTATTCCTTTGTGGAGACAAGGGACAGAGTGTTCTTCATTTTTGTGGGGAGGCTTGGCTGGCATGGTTAGATGACTGAATGACATATTGACACATGCATTTCAAGGAAGCTAGTGTCAAAATGTTTGGCTGGAATTCTTCCTCATAAATTTTTGTACTCCTTGAACAATAATTTTAGAAGTTATGCTTCTTAGGAGCATGAACCTATAAATTTCTCTTTCCTCCGTTTCCATGGTAATAGCTCTGCTGTCTTGACTATCCTATCTACATCTTCATAATCCATTCATTCTCCTGCACAAGCCACAAGTTCGGGAAGATTTTTGTTTGGGAAAGACATTTTAGCACTTCCTAGCCAAATGCCCTGAAATAATCCCAAGATTTTCATTTTCATTTTCAGCATGGAGTTTTTAAATATCCTAACATTCCCCAGCCCTCACACCTACCTATGGCTTTGAACTGGCTATAGGGGTAGGTGACACATAGAAAGCTCTGTCCATAAGTCAGGGCAGTGTGGGGCCATGCATACGTCTTCTCATCCAGTCTGGAAGGAAACCAAGGTGTGCTGTGAACAAGCCAGAATCCTTGAGTTCTGTCCAGGAAGATGACCCCTGGGAGGGGAAGAGAAAAAACCAAAGCATGCAGTCAACCTCTGTCCAGCTGTCTTGAAGTTCCAGAAGTGCATCACAAAGTGGCTTGTCTGCTCCACCATAGACTAAACTGAAGAAAAGTCACAGGTCACAGCTAGTCTCTTTCTTTGAATACATTTGATGCAAGGGCACTACCTTTTGTATGACCCTTAGAACCAGAGAAATTCTCCTTTGGAGGCTCATCGTTGTACAGGACATAGGCCATCTCTTCCTCCCTCTGGAGGGAAAATAAAACACACGTAGAGCAAGATTTTTCAAAAAGAACTTGAGTAGCTTCATGAGAGATTAACAGTAAAAAGAGATTCACTTGAATGCAGACCTTTAGGTATCCATAGCAATTTTTTAAGGGGATGACATTTGGTGACATTTCAAACCTTTCTCCCCAGGGGGTATTTATGTCCATGACTTATTGTTTTACATCTTGACTAGAGGTTCTGGGATTTTTTTTTAAACTAACAAGATCCACCCATGTGAAAAAGTATGCAGCCTGACCCAGCCTCAGTAATGTGGCCTTTACCACAATTTTGCATCCAATCCCTTGGTCCTACTTGTGATGAGACAAGTAGCCATTGGTGTGATTCAAGGGAAATTCAAATAGAAACTGGGTCTTTTCAGTGAGAACCATATTACCCCATGATCACAATTTTTAATTTGGGATCATGAGAAACTGAAACTGCTCTTTCTGCAGACTCACCTGCCTGCTTGCAGCCTCCAGATACAGCTGATTCAGTGTTCTGCCCACAGCTCCCTCAGTACTGTTCATCAAGCTCCTGCCTTGCACCCAGCCCTGGGTATGTCCATCTTGATACATGTACCGCATGCCTTCTACTGGGGAGCTGTGACGGGACTTGGGCAGCTTGTAAACAATAAACCTGTAAAACAGGCCTTTAGAAATCGCAACCAGCCCGTGGATGAGAAAACTCTGTATTTAATTTCTCTGAAGTGTGCAATGTGACTTCACTGTAGGATTGAGAAAGGAAAGGAAATGAGGAGATAGAGCATATTAGGGGTGTAAACTCCTGAGGCAATCTAGGGAAGTGGAGACTCACAGGATTTCAAAGATAGCCTCACTGAGAAATAAGGTTTTTCTCAGCAGTGGCACCTACATTACAGACCAATCTTCTGCCAGAAATCCAAATGACTCAAATCACTTCTGACCTTTAGAAAAACCTTAAGAGCTAAAATGTTCAGAGGGTATTTTAAGGCAGAGGTCCCCAACCTTTTGGGCACCAAGGACCGGTTCCGTGGAGAGAGGTTTTTCCACGGACCAAAGGGTGCCTGGTTTTGTTTGCTGCCTGCAGCTTGTGAATGGGGCTTTGCTTGTTTTGGCAGCTTGGTTGCTGGCATGCTGCGGGCCGGTACTGGTCCAGGGACTGGAGATTGGGGACCCCTAATTTAAAATCAGTCATCAATAGATCCATTAGGAATTTTGTTTGTAGTAATTTATGAAAAATTTGGGTAGTTTTAAGGATTATTGTTTCTACATTATATCTGTATTTCTGTCTTAATTGTACACCACCAAGAGTCCATGTAGAGTGTGATTGTTGATAAATACAATAAATAAATGCATTTTCTGACTAAAAGGCAGCCAGGATAGAGTGTACTGCTTGCATCTCTTGCACAAGGCATTTCAAATACACTACTCATCTGTTCATGGATGGTTGCAGGGAAGGAGTTGGGGTAAACAATTGAAAAGCCTAAAAACTGCCAGGGAAACAGGAAGACCAAGGAGGGAAAGAGAGGTGGAGAATTTAGTTTACTTTTTGTAAATTCCTCTAGAGACTTTGATGAAAAGGGCAGGAATCTTTTTGAGAAAACAAAAGATAAAGCCAGGTAAAATAAACACACACCAGTCGACAGGCTTCCCAGAGTCATCATAGCAGGAAATGCTCCCATACACAACATAGGTGTGAGCCAAAGACAGTGCCAGAATGAGCAGCATCAGGATTTTGCAGAATCCCTGCAAAGAATGAACAAGCATGGCTAAAAATGAAAGTCAGGACAATTGCCACATTCCACCATTATCCTAATATACCTGTCAGTATACCCATGAAAGGTTCCCTTTTTAAAAATGTATTTAACTGAGGGAAGTTTTCTAACCAAACATTCTTTAAGTGGAGGAAAACTGGCTTATTAAATAATATATTTTCCCTTTCTAATATAACTATCTCAATAGTTGATTCTCTTAATTTTTCTTCCCAACTTATTTTCACTTCCCCATTTAGCAAATGGCGTTTATAATCCTGAAATACAAATTATTTTGTACTGCATAGTCCCTGGAGGTTTCTACTTACAACTGTGTTCAAAAGACACATTCATGCTACCATAAAGCAACCACATGTGCTGGATTTGCACAACGGAGAACTAGTTGGCTAACTCATCACTCACTGTACCATGCGAGCCCTTCCTATAGTCGATAACTGTTGCCTCTGGGGTCATGTGAAAAATGAATCTTTCATTAAAGTGCAATTATCACTTCACTGCCGCCCCCCGCCCAATAATCAGATTCAGATTAGGAGACAGCCATGGCACACAAAACTCAAAAGAGGAAAAACCGAACAGGCAACCCAGAATTGGTCTAACCCAAAAGATGTACATCTCCGTGCATCTCATCTTAGTCCAAGGAATAACGCGGAGAAATTAAATCAACCTTACCCAACCTGATGATCCTCACCTACCTTGGACTGCCACGCCCACATTCTCTGCGCAGCATAGTTATGGAAAATGGGAGTTGGAGAGCCAACGCTCCTGGAGGGCGTTAGGAAGGCTGAGTCGTAATCCTAGGCAGAGAGAGTCTGTCCTCCCAGCGTTAAAGCCGTCGGGGGCGGAAGACACCGAAAGAAATCACAGAAGAGGGAGGGAGCGAGGACGCACAAAGTGCTCGCCCGGCGCTCTGCAATAAGCGAAGGCGAGCTCGCCTCTCCGCTCGCAGACCCTTTTCTGACTCAACTCCCCGGGCGCGACGCCCACCGCCTGCCGAAGAATCTGCTCCTCCCCGCCTCGCCTGTTGTTAGGCTGACTCACTTGACCGTAAGAAGCTTTTTCCGATGCTCCGGAGGACGTACAGGACGTAGTGCAGCCACCGAAGGGGGACAACGCGGACTGGACTCTTAAACAGCTCCCTCAGCGCTGCCCCGACCGAAGGCGCCGCGCTTCTCCGCCTCGCTCCCGGTGAAAGGGAAAGAAAGAATAGCGAGCGAGCTTGGCAAAAGCTCAGCCGGCAATACTGTGCAGAAACTTTCCCATGGAGAAGAACATCATGTGCCTTGGCACCACCCTGCCCAGTTGGCGGCGGCGGCGGCGGCGGCTCTTCCAGCAAACCCCGGGTGGAAACTGAAGGCGACACCCAAGGCCGGCAGGATCCGGGCGGGGGTGGCGGGAGGCGTTTGGCGGCGCTTGCCGATGCCCAGGGGGCTGGGCTTGGGAGTAGAAGAGGGAGGGTGGTCATTTGAGTGCATCAGCCGCCTGCATTAAGTTGCAGGCTAGGTGGAAAATCATATCTACTCTGTGGTTTATTCGGAAAAGAACAGCAGGAAGGTTTGCTATAGTTGGGAAGGCTCCTTAGAACTTAGAACCCTGCGGCTTTGCTTCCCCATTAAATTCACTGCCGGGGAATCTCTTGGTGATCTTCTGATCTTCTATCCTCGGGCCATCAAGTGCTGACCCTGCTGTAATTCCCTAGAATGATGAATCAAGATCTGAGATCTTGGCAAATGTTATACCTTTTGAGATAATCCAGAGAAGAAGCACAGCAATGAATCCTGCTTTTACCTGTTGGTGGTCCTCTGTGTCCAGCTGTCCAGGTGGGGCCTGTGTTTTTATCAGTCTCATGTGGCTTGGTGTCTCCCGAAGCTGACATTCCACAGGTCCAGCGGGAGCAGCTTGTTCAGATTCAGATTCTGCATATGTTAAGTCCTTTATTTTGGTAACTTTAAAGACTTTAAAGAAGTAGGATAGAAAGAGTAGTGTGATTTCTTTCAACTTTGATGTTGGAGAGAATATTGTGGACAGCCAAGAAAATCAACAAATGGATCATTGAACAATTCAACCAAAAGTTCTCACTTGAGGCACAAATGACCATAAATTACTCTATTTCAGACAGAGTATGTGAAGACCCAACTCTCTGGAAAAGGCTTTAATGCTGGGAAAGTGGAAGGAAAGAAAAGTAAAGGACAACCAGCAACAAAGTGGATAGGTTTGGTGATAATGGCAATGAATGCATCATTGGGAAACCTAAAGGAATAGGTTAGGGATAGATTGTCAAAGAGAAAAGCTGTCTGTATGAAAGCTAGGAGTCAAAAAGTCGTGTGATGACAAGTAATCAATTTCCACACCACCTAGTGACAGTCCTAGAACAATGCCTAATTATTCAATAAGGCATATTCAGAAAGGAGAGTGACACCCCTGACACACCTTTTAAGACTGAAAACTGCTCTGAAAGAGCTTCTTTGCAAGAAGAATCGGGCTGTCAGGTAGCCTATTGAGCAAAATATTTTGGTTTGCATTTGACAGTAAATAATCAAGAAACATAACTAAGTTTACAATATTAAATGTATGGCAAGAGATTAAAAAGACTTTGAGAGGTGGTGAGATCTATATCTTGCTCAGGATCAACTGCAATCATTGAAATAAATGGATTAAGCAAAGTAAACTATGGTATTTCAAATTACTCCAAATTATAATTATAATTTCTGAGATAATTCTACACAAATGGCAAGAAACTATCAAAATTTCAATAAGTTTCTAAAGAAATTTCAATATCAAGTTATTTAGCTTATGGCCAAAACATTTGTTACATAACAAGTATCTTGATATACTGTATGCTCTTCCTTCATCTCCTCATTTTCAATGTTATCAATGAGAAAGCCAAATAATCATAATACTTGTAACTTTAAACTGTAATATTCTAGTATTGATAGAATAGCTAATTTTTCTTTCCTCTATATTAGATTTTTATCCCACTTTTATTTGTATCTTTACATATATTTATATATTTCATGCTTATAGACCACCATCTCCCTCAGTGAGGGACTCTGGGCAATGTACAGCCTATATACTCAGATGCTACCTTAACAGCTCTTAGCTCCTTGGTTAGGACTTGAACTGTTAAGTTTTTAAGTAGTCCCAGACTGTGAATTGAATTGAAGATTAAATCTTAAATAACAACAACAATATCCATCGGTGTTGACAAATTTGCCATCAGTCAATTGCAAAAGGCTGCTTTATTTGGAATAGCTTTCATCCTGTGATGATATCTGTAACACCATCAAACATCCACATCTGCCTATCCTACGTCCTTGGAAAGGATTCAATAGGTAGACAAAAATGCCAAACCCAGTCTGAATATCTGGCTGACTGCAATGAATCATAATAATAAAGTTGTGATTCCAAATTGAGAGCAGATAATTTAGTCTGGCTATTGTAAATAAAAAACAACAACCACATAAAGGAAAGTTGCACAGTAAACAACAGATATGGTTCCTATTTCAGGTAAACAGAGAAGTTTGTGGCGATTGTTATTCAATTTTATTAAAGGTCATTAATGATATGTGTGTAAGTGCCTTCAGGAAGCTAAAGGGGAAACAACCTCTTGGACTCGATGTAGAGCAGGGGTGTTGAGTGCCGCTGCAAACATGGCTGCCTGGAGTACCTGCCATGAAAGAAATGGAGAGGCAGAGCTAACAGCAGGATCAGAAACAGGACTTTGGCCAAGGCCCACAACATCCTCCAGGCAGCCTGGGGAGTTGGACGTAGGAAAGATCTGCACAAAAAGGGGAAAGAACAATATGTAAACAAAGGCACAAGAAGAGGATCAAATACAGCTGATGGTTCCTAGTGGAACAATGAAAAGGTGGATTTATTTTTTCTTCATTTTTTTTAACATTGATTTAATATTGGAATAATGCTATGAGGGAGCCATCTCTTTTTTTTAACCAATGAAATTGAAGAGTCATCACTTCTTCTAAATTATAGCCAATGGAGAGAAAAAAATGGTAAAGCTGCAATGTCTTGTTTTTTTAATCAGTTCAGTAGGAATTTTAAAAGGGGAGGGGATTACCAATCAGAATAACAGGCCACAACCAGAGCCAAAGCAGTGGGAGGAGCTGAAATCTAGAATGGGATTTCTTTATTTCCATCTGGTTTATTCATGGGAGATTAACAGCTTAAAGCTGCAATACAAAAAATGCCTAACAGTATTGGGATGGGGGGACAAAGTTTAGATTAATTAATATTCAAACACATTAAATTAAGCTGTATACATCATGTAATTCAGCTTTCAGTCTTCTACTAATCTGGTTAAAGCTCATTGTGTGAATACAGTCAATGCCCTTTCCTTTCTTTCCATCCCCCCACCTCCAACTCTTCTGCTTTTTGTCTACCTATTTTACAGTACCTGCATGTTTATTTATTTAGACTTCTTTGCCTGCCAACTTGCCAAGATGACTCTATACAGTTTACAGCTGTACAATTAAAATATTGTATAAAATGTTAAAGTGTTAATAAATCATTTCTCCAATAGTCCATCAGTCACTTACATGGATGAGCAGTATTCCTTAGAAGTAATTCTGTATAGTTCCAGATGTGGAAGTCTCTTCTGAGAGAATAGGAAAAATAAAATGTGAGTTACAAGAGTTCCACCAAGCACACTGTTAAGAATCCTATGCTCTCTTCCAAAAGCAGTCCTCAATTTATAACCATTTGTTTAACCACACTTCAAAGTTACGACTGCCACAGAAAAAGTGACACTCTGTCCTTAGAATGACAATTGTCTCCTCACTCCCACAGTTACAGAAATGCAATTTGAGCATTGGGCTACTGCTAGCATTTACATTTGTTGTAGAGTCTTGTGGTCACATGATCATGATTTGCAACTTCCCCAGCAGGCTTCTGACAAGCAGAGTCAATTGGAGAAGCTGGATTCGCTTAATGACTGCATGTTTCACTTAATGATCACGATTCAAAAACTGTTGTAAAATCAGGTACAGTCACATGGCGACTACATCGCTTGCCATCCCAATTATGGTCATAGGTTGAGGACTACCTGTAGTGGAGTGCAAAAAGGAGTATTCTTTGACAGTTTCCTTCCCCGTTAAGAAGCAAGAATAAACGGGGAAAAAGTGGCAAAGATGGAGGCCCTCCAAAGACAAGGATTTGCAGCTGTCCTGGGCTGGCTCTACAGCTGGGTGATCAAGTACAATTGCCAATCTTGTTGATACAGAATGGGACAACTCACCATGGTTAACTCGCTACAGGCCAACTCGCCATAGGACAATTCAACAATTCAATTTAATTATTTAAAATAATTAAAACAAATATTTTAATTTTTTGTCATTCACATTTCATTTTGCCCTTCTTTTTGCATCCTTTCTTTAATGATTCTGTTCCACCATTTCTTCAATATTAATGTAACTCTTGTCCCATGGTGAGTTATCCCGCAGCAAGTTGGCCATGGTGAATTGGTCATGGCAAGTTGTCCTAGACCCTCGTGGACGAGTATTAATTTGCAGCTCTGCTCCAACATACTTAAAATGATTGCAAACCCTATTTATAGAGGACATGTCAGAATTTCAGGGTTCCTGTTAATACAGATTCTTGCTTTATCCCATTGCCTCTTCACTCTTGAAATTGTGTTCAAGTGCCATCTTTTTTTCTTTAAAAAAAAGGAAGATGGCAGTGTTAGAGCCTCTTTCATAGTGACTATTCAGAGGGAAATAGCAAAGTATCTCAAGGCAGGGAACTAGTTGGAGAGGCCCTGGCCAAATCATCCAGAGTTTTGTATTTGGAAGAGGGTGGCATTAAGGACAATTGCAACCACCCAATCACATACTTCATACCATCTGGTCGCACACTTGTTCCTCCCAAAGAAAGCCTCCTGCCAAGGTCACCATTTCTCCAGAAAGTGCATCTTTCTGCAAACTAAAATAGAACACAGTAGTAAAAAGGCAGGCTATGTTTTCTGTGTGTATAACTGAAGCCTAGCAGAACAGGAGAGAATACAACTTGGACAGAATATCTTGGGACTTGCAACTCTGTAACTTATTCTTGCTTTACCCAACTTGCCTTCTGGGTCTTTTAAGCTGCAGATTAAACTAATTTTGAAGTCTCCAAAAATATCTCGTCTCTTATACATGTACGCGTGCGCGCACACGCGCACACACACACAAGCACACAATGTTTCTTGCAAATAAATGCAATTCCACTGTCAAATGTAGCAAACTCCAATAGTAATTCCAATCCAGGATGTTTTCAATGAGAACATGTGCTAAATTTTTATTTATTTCCAGCCTATGTACATTCCCAAGACCTATTTGTTGAGATACCCTCAAATGGATATTATTGCTATTCCTATTTTACAGATGAGGAACTGAGTCCAAGAAATTGTGACCATACTCCTTTTGGCCAAGATTTGGTCTAAGTCTTTGATGCTCAGCTCATTAACTGATCATCATAGCCAACTAAGAGGATTGATTAGGTCATCCTTACAGTGCTATTTCCTGTTGAACTTCCACCACATTGTCTTCCAAGAAGGTGATACTTCGGTGCAGTTCCTTCATTGATTTAGAAAGAAAATAACACTGCTTTAGTCTTTCATATTTTTCTTTATCTTAATTTTTTACACTAATTCAGTTAAGCTTCAGACTCTCCTGAAAGCCCTGAGATGGCAGGATATGGGAAGAGAGATTAATTTGAAGATCGCTAATCCTTAATAGTTTATATTGGATTGCTTTATATGCCATCTGATTCTAACTGAAGATAATCTAAACCTGAAATCAAAACTAGAAGAGGATTTTTCTAGGAATTTGGCAGACACAATTTTCATCATAATCTTCAACTTTTATCTGTTATTTCAGCACTTAGATTGCTGTGGCAATTACAGGTAATCCTAAACTTATGGTCTCAGTTGGGACCAGGATTGCTGTCATAATTGCTGTGGTCATAAAGCAAGATGTCACATCACCACAACAACATATGATAGCAATCCCAGCACTCCCCACTGAGTCATTAAACAGGAATTGCGGGTATTTAAGCAACTACCCACTCCAACTCAAGCCATTCCAGGCTTGGTCCCTCCAAGCCCTGAGCCTCTGTAAGGTAAGGAACAGGCTCCAACTCCCAACACAACTGTTCCCTCCCCCCATGTCTGTATTTTGGCCAACCTGCACTCTGCCTTCTGGGGTGGCACAAGTAGCCCCAGCATTGTGTGACTCTGGAGCTGCTAGCCCTGTCCTGGGAAGCCTCAGTTACCAGAGTCTGTCCCAGCACGCATTTGGTTGCCCAGCTGCCTGCTCTTCCAGTTCCCTGCACCAACCTTTCACTTTTTGCACCCAGCCACCACAGCTGAAGCAGAAGCACTTTGCTGCCTTTGCTATTTCCTTTTCAGACCTTTGGCCTGTTACCCCATGTGCCCCAGCTTCTCTGGTTTCCTAAACGTGGCTCCCAAGCCTGCCTTAATAGCACTAAGCCACAGCCTCTATGAAGCCCCAAGCAAGCTTTTGTTCACCCAGTTGTCTTCTCTGCCAGTTCCCCGCACCAACCATCTACCTTTTACACCCAGCCAAAGCAGAAGCGCCTATCTTTGCTGTCTTTTTTTTTTTTTTTTGTACCAAGCTTCTCCAGTGTACATTTTCTAGGTCTGTGTCTTCTTTTAGAAAGCAGTGCAGTGCCCCGTTTGTTTCAGTGCTGATTCGCTTTTACTTTGTGATTCCCTTTGATCATGCATAGATTCTGTTGGCTTCATATATGTGACATCTCTGTTGCAGGCAACAAAGCCTAAAGGGAGTCCTACCTGGCTCTTCAGAGACAGCCCCTGGATTACAGTGCTCAGTTTCTCAATATGCTGCTGTTTCTAAAATGCCAAAAATCAGAAGACTTTTATTCTATTTCTATGTAGAAAAAAAAGAGAGCTGTCAACCTTGCATACTTTGAGGGAATGAACCTGGAGGTGCTTCTATGCTAAAAACTCATAATATTAATATATAATTACTCTTCTAGAAGCTGTAGGAAGAATTGCAATTGCTTTGTAAACAGGCTTGCTGTATTATACTTATTTAATGTTAATATATTATCAAAATATTAAAATACCTAGCTAACTACTAACCAGTTTGCTAAAATATAAATGACTGAAAAATATAGGTTTTGAAATCATAGTAACATATTTATGTTCTATTATTCTTTTATCAAAGTGGTACTTTGGGAATCATAGAATCTTTGAGTTGGAAGGGACTTTAGAAACTATATAGTCTGGCCCTCTGCCCAGTACAAGTTCCTCTAGAAATGCCACTGACACTATCCAGTCTTTGCTTAACAACATCTGGTAAAAAAACCTCAACCACACCATGGTAGCTTGTTCCATACAGTGAGGAGGTTGATCAGATATTAGGCGGACAAAGGCTCTTTGTCCAGGCTTTCTTGGGTTTGAAGGAGAGTGCATAATGAAAAGTGAACAGAGGGGAGGAAGGTATTATATTTTTTCTTTCATAATTCTAGAATTCCGAATGATCTGGTAAGCCTGAATGTTGAAGATGGAGAGGAAATCAGAACATGCAGTGATAGTTTCGACTGCTTTGAATGAATTTGAGACAACTTCATAGGGCCTGGGTGGTACTAGCAATTAGTTGTAATGGCTGTATAGTGTATAAATATGGGGTGCAGTAGGCCACTTAGTACCTGTTTCTAGGGAAAAGCAGTAGAAGAAGCTATTGCATTAATATTTGGGTTCCCAGAAGCATCAGGCTGGGCTTTGTGGGAAATTAACATTATATACTATCATTGTCTCCAATTCTTATATTCAATATTTCCACAAGGCTAGTTTTATTATGAATAAATGGACCTTTTAGTCTTAGAAGCTGCTCCTAAGCAATGACATATCTCTCAAATTAAAGTAAGGATCCAGGAAGTAGCAGCTGAGAGACGATTGAACAATAGCCCTGCCTGCTGAATAACATATATAGGTTGTGAACTTTGACAAAAGTGACTATTATAAAATAGAGAGCTGAAAAATAATCAATCCCCGCCTTGACTCACATTTCTCAGCCAAAGACCCATGATTAGCTTGCTGTCAAAAACAAAGGAGCTTTGAAACCAGAAATATATTTGATTTACCTGCCTGATCCTCTCATACTTTGTCTGCCACTTAGCTTCCCATTCGAACAAGTGCCTCTGTGTTGGTGGGAAAAAATTATAATAATATAGTTGCAACAACTTGCAGTCTTCAAATGCAAAGACACAGCCACAGCTATGAGCTGTCCCCTAAGATCTTGAATATCTTAGATTATTTCTGTCCCAAAGGTGGGACACAATTGTGGAGCTCCAGTTTCAATACAGTAGTTCTCTTTTGTCTTCAACAAGTAAGTAAGCTGGTGAGAAACTATATTCTCAGAACAGCAAGAATGCGTTCAAATACTTCACACATGAAATCTTGGAGAGATTTTTTTTCTTACCGGTAGTAGCAATAATTGCCCTTCTAAACACTGCTCTTTGCAAAGCAAAAATGTTCCACCTCAACAACACACTTTAGGCCATGCCATAATGTATTCTGCCTCAGTGCTTCACCCTACTTCTTAAAGTACTGAGGTGCAAATCTCTTCTTGATTGACAGCTCATATCAAAAGAAATGCCCAGGGACTACATTCTTAGAGAGCAGCAAAACAGGGCAGCCTCTCCAGTGCATAAAAGCAGAGGCTATTCACTTTGCAGTTTTGCCTCATAGCTTCATCAGAAAGAAGTGTCCTTTTAACTTTATATATTCCTAATAGGGACATATTCCATTATGATACTTTGGGGAACAGAAGGGAACCAACTAGGGCACAAAACCTCTGCTCCATGCTCAAAAAAAGCTCATTCCTTTCTCCCCGCCCATGAGGAGACATACAGAGATCTCCTATCTCCATTCAGATTTTTCCCACTTCCTGGTAAAGAACAGAGGAGGAATTAGCAGACCTCCCATTTCCCATGCTTTTCACTGCCCAACAGCTACAGCATCTAGTTGTAGGGAATATGACAGCAGTAGAGCACTATTAGTTTAATAACCTGCTTCATATGAAAATCCTCCCACCATAAATCTTACCTTGTCTTAATAAATCTGACAGCTGTAGCATGTGGCATGAAAAACAAATACATAAGTGTATAACTCCTCCTGTCTGTACAAAGTGGATCTTTTCTTGTGAAAGAGAAGGGACAGTTACTCAAAGAATCAGAACTATATTTAGTAAATAAGTGTGTGTGTGTGCATGCGCGCGCATGGGCTTGTGTGTGCATAAAATAAGTACACAAGATAACAAATCAATGCTTAGGATTTCTATTACTCTACTACCAAATTCTGTGATCATTTTACATTAGTTGTATTGATTTCCTAGTCTAGTAGGTCTATATAACAAATATATAAGGTATGGGAAAGTTACCTTCAGTTCATTGCCTTCTGATCTAAGTTCCTTCTGAACATCTTTGTTGTACTGCTCATCCAGCTGTTGCTTGAAGACCTGTATGTTATGATTGCAAAAAGAATCCAAAGTTTTCATAGCTGGGAAGAAGGCAGTGCTGTTATATGGGCTCACAGATAGATGGTTAGGAAGCAGGATAGTGGTTTCTTATTTGATCTTGCACACTTTTCCACATCATCTGCCCTCTCAGAGATGAGCCAAGAACAGATTCTCCTAAACCAGGGGTCTTTGAACTTGGTCCTTTTATGGCATGCGGGCTGAGGAATTCTGGGAGTTGAAGTCCACAAGTCATAAAAAGGCCAAGTTTGAAGATCCTGTCCTAGACTAACATGTCTTTTGTATCTGCTGAGGCTCTCACATTCTGAAAAATTAGCAAATGTAGTATCTTGTATCAAAGACAATTCTTAGTTCAGATGCCTGCTCCCCCATTTGTTTCAGAAAAGGGTCCCTCTAAACCAGAGCTGGCCAATCTGTGTCCAACTTAATATGGTTTGGGAGAATGAGAATAGCAGCGGAAGGAAAGAGATTTTCTAGATTTCTGAAATCAGCAAAGATCCTGAATCCTACGTAAGATAGGAAATTTAACCATATCTTTATAAATCTACCCTCTGTAGCTGATTATTTAGTCAGATTACTGCATTAGTTTTTTTGGTCTGAATTTTCAGACTCATTTGAATTAAATTTGAAGCAAGATTAGATTTATGGTGTCATACAGTTCCTATATGTGCAATCTCCATTATGTAATCACATCTTTGACCTGTGAAGAATTATGAAATGATGCTAGATAAGCAGCATATATCCAAAGATGTTTGGCTAAGTACAGTTCTGATATATTATCATGAGTTGGTATCTTTCTATTGACTTATTGAGTCTTGCTACATGCTGGAAATTGCCATCCAAGTAAATATTATTCCAAATTCAGAGTTTGCATTGCTGACTTATTCTCACCATTCTCACCAGGTTATAATTGGTTTCTTATTTAGCAGCTGGTGTTTTGCATTGATTTCTAAGGTTCTACCCATTCCCCCCTTCCCACCAAAAGGGGAAGCACTTCATTTATTTTTCCTGGCTTCCCATCCCTGCTTTTCCACCATTTCTATATATACCGTACTATCACTGCTACGTGGCAGCAACTAATCAAATTTAGCAGATCTTCAAATGTCATGCAGGGACAAATCTAGTTAATAATTGGATGGGAGACTAAGACTCTGAGTTGGGAAATTGGGAATCTTTTTTTTTTGAAGGAGGCAATAAGAAACCACTTCCATGAAACTGCTACAAAAGTTACATGGGTTTATCCCATAGGGTCACCAGGAGTCAAGTGGCAGGTACAATGCCCAATTTCCATTTCAGGTTGCAAATTAAGTGCTGCATATTCAAATATTGGTTAATGGAATTTGGCATATCTATGACATCAATTTATTTCATTTAGTATGGCACTGGTTTTTTTGCAAGTTTATGTTTTAAGACTTATTGTACTTGGAGCACAAAGTGATAACCTTAAGCCAAAGTTAATCACTTTATTTTATAGTCAATTGAAGTTAAGAATAAGAGCAGCAATCTTCTTGAACTCTGCCCTATCTCAAGTACTCACCTTTTTTTCCAGTTCTTTAACTATCTCAGCCATTTTCTGATTTTCCTTTTCCTGCAATTTAGCAAACAAATGGAACAGTCTAAGCCCTGCTCTCAGATTTTTTTGAACAATTTTAGTGTTGTATTGTTTTTCTTATCAGCACTATTAACATTTAGAAATTATACTGTGTAGCACCTTAGAATATTCAGCATGCTTTATGCAATTTGTGTAAAGCCAGTATTGTTATCTTGAAGACATGGGGACTACAGCTAAGATTGCTATTAATGAATTCAAACTTTTATTAAACTTAGCACTATTTTCTTGATCTGAATGGCCTTAATCTGAAATTCTCCAAAAAGGTAGAGTTTTTAAAAGAATCCAATCCCTATTGCATTTCGCACAGCAAACATACCAAAGGCAAGTTTCGGATTCTCATCAGCAGGCAAGTTTCAGATTCTCATCAGCAAGATGGCATGGCCAATGAGAAAGGAGTATCAAAACTCTTGTCCAAAATGTTTAGAAAGCACCAGAATGCCTATTTTTAAAGACACTTTTTATTTCTTCAAAATGTTACATATCAGATAGGATAATGAAAAACCACATACTGGAATGGATATTTCTCTAGACGTAATCAATTTATTCCAAGGTATTTAAAAAACGTTGTTTTAGAATGCCTAAATTTGAAGGAGAAAATGTATTATTGGTCATCAGAAATGAAGACTAAAAACAGAACATTGAAACAGCAATTACAAAAATTACAAACAAACAAACAACCTTTATTGGTTCCTGTTAATCTACAGAGCCATTCTAACACCAACTTCTTTCTCCCAGATTACAAATTGGCCAAAGTTTCTAGAACACCATGTCACATAACCAATTCTCTTATCTCCACCCTGAGGCATAAACACAATAGTATAAGGAAGGAAGGAGGGGAAGCTGAGGACCATGGGGAGAGAATGCAGAGCTCTTAAATTGGTCCCCTGAGGGGCTCACTTGTTTGTGGATATGCAGCTGGCGTTGACGACTTCGGTTCTGATACTCCTGCAGAACTTCCTGGATTTCTTCCAGCTCCTCTTGCAATGCTCGAGTTTTCTTCTCCAGGGACTTAAAACTGCAAAGGAGAAAAGGGAAGGTATCCTCACCATCTCCTATGCCAAAATTTAATCCCAGAAGCACCCTACACTTGCCAGCACACTGAGCTGAGCCTTCCTACTTCCTATCAGCTAACCTTTGCAAATCCTTGCAGTATTCTTTGGTTAAATCACCATGAAGAAAAACCTCTACAAAAATGGCTTTAAATTTAGCCATAACAGAATAACAGAGTTGGAAGGGACCTTGGAGAACTTCTAATCTAGTCCAACCCCCTGCCCAAGCATGAAACCCTATACTATTCCAGATAAGTGGCTGTCCAGTCTCTTTTTGAAAGCTTCAAGTGATGGAGCACCTACAACTTCTGAAGGCAATTGTTCTGTTAGGAAATTTCTCCTTAGTTCTAGATGGCTTCTCTCCTTGATTAGTTTCCATCCATTGCTTTTTGTCTTGCCTTCTGGTGCTTTGGAAAATGGATTGAACCTCTCTTCTTTGTGGCAGCCCCTCAAGTATTGGAACACTGCTATCATGTCACCCCTAGTTTTTCTTTTCACTAGACTAGACAAATCCAGTTCCTACAACCATTCTTCAAATGTTTTAACCTCCATCCCCTAATCATCTTTGTCCCTCTTTTCTATACTCTTTCCAGAATCTTTACATCTTTTTTATAATGTGGTGAGCAAAACTGGATGCAGTATTCTAAGTGTGGTCTTACTAAGATTTTATAAAGCAGAACTAATATTTCACATGATCTTGATTCTATCCCTGTTAATACAACCTAGAATTGTGTTGGCTTTTTTGACTGTTGCCACACACTGCTAGCTCATATTTAAGTGATTGTCTACTAGGGTTCCAAGATCCTTCTCACAGTTGTACCTGTACCTATACCTGTACAATTGATTTTTCTTTCCTAAGTGTAAAACCTTACTTTTCTCTACATTGAACAAATTTCAATGTATTTCTGGTTTTTGACCAAATAGAAAAATGGGAGGCTGAATTCTGAATAAATAATTTTCATGGGACCCCATTTTCTCTCCAGCTTTTTGAGGGATCAGCAACTGTCAGGAAAAATTGGGAAGAATCCCCATGACAGCCTCTCACCTCTTAGTCTGCAGCAAGGCACAAAGCTGGGACTGATGTCTTAACAGTGCTTCATATTCCTTCTGCCAGACTTCACCGTGAGCAAGTTCTTCATGGATCCATTCCTGTAGCCAAGCATTCTCATCTTCAAAGTTCCTGAGTTTGTAGGGGAGAAAATTGATGAGGAGTGAATTTGAGGCATTCTGGTAAATCAGAGAGGTTGCAGAAGTGATACTTCCTGTCCAACTGATAAGTGTGAAAAGCAAGAACTAGATGTTCCTCCAAAATTGATGAAAAAACAAGAAGAAAATAAGAATTGCTGCCAAGAGGCCTCCAGCAATATTAAAGGAGCTGTAGGAATGTCTGGCAAGTAGTAGTTATGTACTATACAGGACAACAGTCTCCCATATTCTTCATATGTCTGGGCTATAGGGTAGGTAGGGTGACAAGATGGAAATCTTTTCTTACAAAGAAAGACATCCAAACCTGGCTCCATTTTGTAAAATCTATATCAAGTCTGACAAAAGCATGTGGGAAAATGTGTTATAGTCTGAGGAGAGCAAGGTTGAATTTTTTTGGCCATAACCTCAAAAAGTATGTTTGGTGCAACAGCATGCATCACCAAAAGTACACCATACTCACAGTGAAGCATGGTAGCACCATTATGCTTTGGGGCTTTTCTTCAGCTGGAACTGGGGCTTTAGTCAAGGTGGAAGGAATTATGAATATGCCAAATATCAATTTTGGCACAAAACTTTCAGGCCTCTATTAAAATGCTGAAGATGAAGAATTTCACCTTTCAATATGAAAGCATGCCTCCAAATCAATAAAAGCATGGCTTTACCAGAAGCTGATCAAAGTTTTGGAATGGCCCAGCTAAAGCTTAGACCTGAATCCAATTGAACATCTATGGGATGACCTGAAGAGGGCTGTGCACAGATGACCTCACAATCAGACAGATTTGTAGTACTTTTGCAAGGAAGAGGGGCAAAGATTCCCAAGGCAAGATGTGCCAGGCTGATAGGCTCCTACTCCAAAAGACTGGATACTGTCATAAAATCAAAAGGTGTTTCAATAAAGTATTATTTAAAGTTTGCATTATTGTAAGTTTTTTATTTTTATTTCCACCCCCCTAAATGTCTTGGACATTTTTTGTACTCTTCTCCTGACTAATGCATTCCAGCAACGAGATCCCTTTAATGCTTTGTAAACATAGCAGATCATGACTTTTGCTGTAAGAGGCAACTGAGTAACTGTATAGGGCTTGATCAGTCACTTTAATGGATGGCAGGTGTGCACTGACTACTATTTAACATCAGTTTGAATGTGATTCACATTCATATTTATAAGAGGGTGTGCACACTTGTGCAACCATGTTATTGTAAGATTCCCCCCCCCCATTTTAATTGAATTGTACAATTTACAGTATATGTTAAAAGAGGGAAAAAATTCTGAAGTGATTTATCTTGGTTTGATTTTTACATCTCAAAAAACTTGCATTTCAACAGAGGTATGTACTTTTTATATCCAGAGTTCTTCCTAAAGCTGGATTTGTTTCTTCTTTTCTTATACACTATGGGAATATTCCTTCTCATACTCATTTAAAATTATCGCCAATCTTTTCTGTGGCTGAAAATTCAAGGTTCTGTGTTTATCTAAGCGTTTATCTGTATATAAATTGGTAAATACATCCTGTCTGCTCATTCAGGGAAACAGCTGATTATATAATGTGAATCAAATCTCCCTTCCCATATTTCTAACATGATGTATAGTGGGAGAAAAGCTTCTTTGGCTAAATAGGGACTAAGTGGAAACAAAGAGATTGTTTTATTGCTATTTGTCCAGGAGCTGAAGGCAGTATACATAGGACATCTCCCATTTTGTCATGAGTAAAGTGAGTTGAAAGTACTGTTGGCTTATTTGGTCAGCCAACTCCATGGCTGAATGGGAACCCAAACCTGAACCTGGATCTCTCTAATCCCAGTCTAGAATGGTATCCATCAAACAAAACTGGGTCTAGGCCCTTCTATCTCTATGAAAAGCCCCAAATGGTTCCACTACTGGTGATGGTATTGCTATTCCTGTAAGAGACAAGTGTAAATATTGTATCTAGTTTTACCTTCATTACCTCCTATTCAGTATGCTAAAGATGTCTGTTTTCTGTAACATATTTCCCATGGCCTGACAGATCCCATTTCACAATTAGCTCTTTTTCATAATCAGGCTGCAAAGAAAAGCTGTTAAAACACACCCAGGACTTCTTTGCTTGAGTTTGCTGCTTTGACTCAGTGCCATATTCATGTCCACAATTCCTTAGTTGGGCAATTTCTTAAAGAAAATTAATACATTTGCAAGCATGAACTGGCGACCCTGAAAAAGAAAATATCAAGCTATTCACGCATTTATAAATATTGAACCACTTTATCAGATGACACCCCAAAATTGCTGTTTCTGTGATCCAGTGCATACATAAAAACATGTTACAAAAATAACATTTGGAAGAATTGGCTTGATATATGTCATATTTTTGTATGGCCAATTTACATGTTTGTGTGTGTGTGTGTGAAACTGATACCTGCCACTCAGGGACAGATTCATCAGGACATCAGTTAGTGACCACCAAGCCAATTAAATAGACCTTCTAAGAGTAGCTCCCTAAGCCAGTTGCCATCACATAGGAACATGTTGCTCGGCAACCAACTGCCAACCATTACCATTCTACCTTCCAAATGCATCTCAAACATAGGGCTAGTTCCTCACATGCTGTAATCCCAGAACCTGGGATTGTCCTGGCAATAGCTTTTTCATTGGCTCCTTGGAAAATTGCCTCCGTCTCACATCCAGCAGACCACGAGTGACACAATTTTAGATAATTTTTATTGCCTCAGTGAACTTTCCCCTTTTAGCCCAGCACTCTAAGGCAGGCAAAATCTCTTAGGCTTTTTCACCTATTATCTTGGGGAGACATCTGGAAACTGCAGCAACAACTTTGTGGCATTTCTTCCAGAACTGTAGGATAAGCAATTTCATATTGAAGTGAGCCCCAATGACATGCCAAGGGACTCTAGGAATTTATCTCCACCCCATCCAAAAACCCGGGGCCCACGTGTGTTAACACCACCAGACTTCTCTTTAAGGAGAAAGATACAGATTGGTTGAGCTCCCTCATGGTAGCCTGCATTCTCCCATTGCAAAAACAAATCCAGAGAGAAAAGAAGTGGCAGACTGCTTGCTAAAATGTCTGTTCTCCTATCTCACTGACCAGGGGTATCCTTTCTTGGGTCTTTCCAGGAGCGAGAATATTAATGCTCATAACCACTGAGGAGGGGAAGAAAGGCAAGACCAGCCAGTATTTGGAGGTGCCCAAAAGTAATCTTTCGGTGATTATTCTGTTGTTGAGGAAAAGCTGAAATATTGGCTCAGCTGCAGCTTCTTCAAAATCATAGGAAAACCTATTTCCTCAAAAAAAAAAAAAAAAAAGGCTGCAGCTTTTCTTTGATACAAAGAATAAGACCTGTGGCAGCTCAGAACAGCCAGTAATTTTTGTTTCTTCTCAAAATTCCAGGTTTACGGATGATTGTTAGTTATCTTGGAGCTACATCTAAGCACTCAGATAACAGCTGAGACCTTTCCCAAATGTCTCTTGCTTCTCATACTGTATCAGCTGAATAGGAAGAGCAACTATACATTGCTGGATTCACGTAATACAACAGGCAATCATTTATTATGCATGGTTTATTGAATAAACTATACATAATATACCAAGCCATGACCATGGAAGTCATACCTACTGGGTTGTATAATATTATGCCAGAAATATGCAATTCATATTTTGACTTAGCATTGTGAACCCACAATTAAAGTAACAGAACCAAACCATTTGACATTGGATGGTGGCCTTTTAATAATCGCAAGATGTAGACCTTTCAGCAAGTCTAATTTGCATAAAAAAATTACACTCTTCAGCACACAACTGTTAAAAAAGGAAAGTTGTGTTCTCCTTCACATCATGGTTGTTCAGTTCAAAAGATACAAAAGCATAATAAAAAAGGAATAATTTGATACATGCAGATGTGTCCATTTTTCACCAATAAAACTATGCCAGATACAATAAAGGAACTCCTTTGTTCCCTTATTTTTTAGCCCAGGAAAAAGGACTACTCCATCAGCTCCTTCAACATTTGATCCTAATAGAAGATCAAAATAAATCTCATTTCCAGGATCTGCCAGTGAGGGAAACTTCAATGCCTTCATTTTAATACTGATAGCTATAGACCCTAGCCCTTATTCCAATTTCATGTATTCAGAAAATATATCTAAGAATGCATTAGACCAATTGCGTTGGCTTCACTGCTGCCTCAGATCCCTTTCTCATATCTCTGGCATTAAACCAAAGTAAATCATACCTACAGGAATGTTTTAGGCTATGGAAAAAGTGATCTCTTCTTAATGCAAGATCAATGAAATATAAAAGGTTCTTCTATAGCCTAGATGACAATAGCTTTGTGGTCTTAGAAATAACTTGAATGCTATTTAGTAGGAAGAGAAGAAAAAGATACAAGAATGCCCAATTTAGGTTTCAAAATATGGGTATCATGTTTTTTTTAGTAGTGATAGAATAACACAGCTAAAACCCTTCAGTCTGGGAGTCCAACTAGGTAACTAGTCTCCATTACATTCTCTTGGCTAATACCCCAAGGGACAAAGGCAGGTGTGCCTTCTTTGTAGGAAATGGAAACATGCAGAGATACCTCCCTCACCCCACAATCACTATCCCACTGTGAGGTTTCCTTATGAGTTAGAATATCTATTGCAATCCAAAATGTTTATTTGTCACACGTGTCTCTTCAAATGTAGAGAGAGGTGATCTGAACGTGAGAAAGCACGTTGACAGAGGTGACACTTGAATGGACGCTGTCCTGTGTGTTTACGATAATGGCGAGTCAGCTCATCTGAACGGGCAAATTTCCAACCACATCCTTCCCAAGTGCAGTGATATGGCTTCTCTCCTGTAAAACAGATAGTACCACTATGTCCTTTTGCTATCATTGGACCCAAAGAGGGTCATTATTTTAAGTTACACAGTTAACATTCATACAGAATTTTGAGGAAATAAGCAGCCCCAAATTACAGGATCTCCCACTTCCTCCTACCCCAACACAGGGCAAGGGGGCCAACCACATAGTGCAACATCCAAACTTTAGATATTCAGCAGACACAGCAGAAGACTCAACAGACGAGCAATTGCTAAGATCCCAGAGCAGAGGATAAAATGCCCCAAGAGCCAACGTACAGCTACACACAGCCTCTATATCTTTTTTTCTTACCTGTATGTGTGCGAAGGTGAGCCTTGAGATGGGAGCTCTTGGTGTATGTCTTCCCACAACTGGGATGACTGCAGATATGACTAGCAGGCCGCTTGTGGGACCATTGTTTGTGTCCTTTCTTAGGCTTGGCTATGGCTTCTCTAGTAGGTGACGGTGGTTTCCTGAAACCAAGGAGTGGCAAAGCATGGAGAACAGAATCTGTCTGGTACATTTGAACTCGGGCTTGATATGGGTTATGGGAGAAAGGATGGTAACCATTCAGCAGACTGCAGTGTGGCAGCTGGGAAGCCACTGCAGCTGGTGGAAACTGATTGTAAGAAGCATGTTTGCCTAGCAAGTGAGGACTTGGCTGTACATAGGCTTCACAGGTTACATGATAATATTGCCCGAGAGATTTTTGTCTGGGCTCCCTGGGCTGTTGCCCTGCTGCAACAAGAGACACAGGATCTCCCTGGGCAAAGTGTGGCAATTGATTGTTGGAAAATACTAGACTCTTATTGGGCTCTATTATATCCTGGGAATAACTGGCTGGGATCGGGGCACAGTTCACAGAGTTCTCTTTTAGCAGGAACTGGACTTCCGAGCTTGAGGAACCAGGAACTTCTGCAACCTTGAGGCTTCCTGGGAGCTTTTTGCTGACTTCCTCCTCAACTGACACTGTCTGACAGACAGCAGACACTGAGGTCTGGTCCTCTTGGTCAACTCGAGAAAGACTGGCATTTTGCCCTGAGGTAGAAAAATTTTTTAGGAGAAAGTCAAGGTCCCAATAGGCTTCCTCATGCTCCTGCTTGACATGTTGGATCCCTTCAGGTTGGTTTGACTCCAAGAACTCCAGAGATGGAGTTTCGGGGCAGTCTTCTGTCTTCCACCACTAGAAAGCAAGTAAATAGCTCATGAAATAAATTGCATTCCAGGTATGAAATGCAGGTAGAAGCTGGTGGGAAGTAAGCAGATTCTTCATACATTGTAGTAAGTGCCTTTCACTAATTGAAAGACAGAAGCAGGTTACAAATGTTCTGATGGATGAGCTTCAGAAACCAGGGCATAGGCTGAAGCCTGCATCAAGGTAGAGATAAGAAGCCCATTATCACAAGACTGCATAAGTTTCTGCCTTACAGTTGGGAGAGGCTGAATGTTAGTTATCTCACCGGGCCTTAGAAACAGGCAACAGAACCATTTACTACTCAAGAGACTTTTTTTCAGGCTGGTTCTTAGCATCCTATGGTTATTCTACTCTAGATTTTCAAGGACTGCAGATTAGAAGAGTAGAATATCCAGCATTTATTCTTTGAAGACCATCATATCATTGTAAGGATTGAGTAAATACAGTAGAATAAAACTATTTATGATCTGTATATTATTATAACAGGGTAATTAATACAGAAGCAGCAATTTATTTCATTTCTTCCCAAAATTGGATCCGACACCATAAATACAGTATCTCCACTGCTTATATTCAGGCTCTGACCTGCAACTATAAAATTATGAGATGCTAGAAAGGAGAAATTAAAAACATGAACTCTATGCTATAAATGCAGATAAGACTAGGAAAACTTAGTATTAAAAGCTAATTAACATTATAAAACTATTTTGTGAATAAAAACTCTTTACATACTAGGTGTTATGTCCCGAGCCTTGCAAACGGCTCGGGCGTTTGCAGGCAGTCCCGGGCAGGTGCAAAGCTGCCCGGGACCAGACAGGCTGTCGCCAGCGCCGTGCGCATGCGCGGGTGCTGGCGCGGGAAAAGTAACCCATTTACCCGGGAGTTGCCTATATAAGAGGCTGTGAGGCGTTTGGGCTGAGCTGAAGCCATCTTCCTGTAAGCTGAACGCTGAATAAAAGAACCTGAGAACTCCAGCTGCTTCTCGTGTCTGTTTTCCCGCCAAGGACGCAACACTGGCGACGAAGGTGGGATGCCTTGCACTACCTGGAAAGGAAAAAGTGTAAGCTTACCCAAGGAGTCCTGAGCGGCGGAAGAGGAACGGTGTTGACTCAGCAGCTGCCCGCCAATCCAGTGCGCATTCGGGGGTAGGCTGGCTGATAGACCCGTCTCCTGAAGATCCGAAGATGGCGAAAATCGGAAGGCTTGCGGAATTCGACGTCTCACATCCAGAGCGGTGGGAGTCCTACGTATCCAGAATGGAGAACTACTTCAAGGCAAACCAAGTGAGGGAAGATAGCTTGAAGGCTGCCACCCTGCTTTGCGCTTGCGGCCAAGACGCCTTCGAAATCGCAGAAAACCTTGCAGCACCTGTTCCAGTAGAGTCTGTAAGCTACGCAGACCTGAAGAAGCTGCTGAAGGACCACTTCCACCCCAAGGTGTCCGTTATCTCATGGCGCCACACCTTCGAGCAGAGGGATCAACGGTCCGGGGAGTCAGCCAAGGAGTACATCGCCGCGTTACGGAAGGCCGCCAAGCCCTGCGAGTTCAAGGACCTCGAGGAACGACTGAGGGACCGATTCGTGTGCGGGTTGAGGCATCGAGAGCTACAACAGAGACTTTTCGCTAAGGAAGAATTATCCTTCCAAGACGCTTTAAGGGAAGCCACCGCGGAAGAAGCAGCAGGCGGCGCCGTCAAGAACATGCGGCCGATCAGAAGCAGTGCAGAGGGTGCGTCCGTGCACCAAGAAGACGTCCGACGAAACTCCGAGGAGGATCCGGACGAAGAAGTCGACCGTCTACACCCCGCGAAGGGAGAAAATCAGAAGGAAAGCTCTTCAGCTCCGCTCAAGTGCATCGGCTGTGGAGGTCGCCACAGGAGAACCGACTGCAAGTTCCGCTCCGCTACCTGCCGGGCATGCGGCAAACAAGGGCACATTGCAGCTGTGTGTCTGGGCCGACGAAAGGCACAACCTCAAGAAGAACGCCTGAAGGGTACCAGAGTCCCCAGCCAGAATAGGGTAGGTTTTTGCGCTTCGCGTAGAAACATTTGTAGGACAGGCACACACAAGCCCATGAAGAAAAAGCTGTCACTCAACGTGAAGCTACAAGGGGTTCCATTATCTATGGAACTAGACACAGGGTCCGCCCTTTCCATCATTTCATTGCATACATTTAGGAAGATTTGTTCCAGTAGTGGGACTAAGGCCAAGTTAAGGCCTTCTGATATTGTATTAACTGATTTTCAGAACTCAAGAGTGTGTGTTAAGGGGGAGGCCACCCTTAACGTGCAATACAAGAGTTTTGAAGGTCCACTAGACTTGTTAGTAGTAGGGGGTGAAAGAACGAGTCTCATAGGACTCGATTGGTTTGAGGCCCTGGGGATACACGTCACAGGACTCAACAGCTTACAAACACTCGACCTACAGGAAGTCTGCAAGGAATTTGCAGATGTTTTCAGCCCCCAGCTGGGCACATTCAAAGGACCACCTGTGTCCTTAAAGCTAGACCCCACTGTCACTCCCATTAGGATTAAAGCAAGAAGG